TTCTTTCTCCCTCTGCAGTGTCTCACAAGCTCCTCACCCACCCACACGCCACAAAAAGAATAAGATAAGGTTTTATGGGGAGTTTTGGCATTTAACATCTTGAAGGACACTGTGTATGCTCATTTGTCTGTTCACCAAAATAGATGGTCTGGAATTCTCCTGTGCCGTGAAGTATGAGCTGCTGCTTCCTGGGATTCCCACCATGGTCGCCGACTCGGATCCTTCTGATCCTTCAAGGCCATTACAAAGCCCCACATGAGGGCTACCACCTTATCCTTGCTCTGGGAGCTTCTTCAAGGCCATTGGATGTCCCTTCCTCTGAGTTTCTCAAAGGGTGTTGGCTGATGACCAGAATTCAGCTCTGTGCCATGGGTTTGGGCTTGCTTCGGTGTCTACGCGCTGCAGCAATGGTGTCCTTGCCCTGTGTTTGGAGGGAGCTCACTTGCTTGGTTCTTAGGGAGCCGGACCACATCCCGCACCTCTCTGCACCTCCTGCACAGTCAACTGGCCGTGGAATTGCTTAGGCCACGTGATTTTAGACAAGTAACTTGGAAACCGAGATATATATATTTTTTCTCATTAGTAAAGTGTAACTCTCCGCTTCTGGACATTGTACTTAAACTCACCAGGGCCACCAATAAAGTTGGAATTGCCAAATTACATATCTCAGTTTTGACTTTGTGCCCTCTGGCACTTGCCAATGGTCACAGCTTCCCCGACGCCGTCGGCTGCCCATGTTAGCCTTGGACTTAACAATTGGGGATCTTTGGATTTCTGTTCTGTGCTTTGCTCATGATAGATGCTTCATAAATAGTTACGAACTTAATGATACCAGGACGTTTGTAGACAATAAGAAGCTGTGTAGTCGTGAGTAGTTATTAATATCAAGAATTTTGCTTTTTGCTGATGTCGTGACTTTTGTTTGATTTCTCCCCCCTCAACAACCCCCCCCCTGCCCCCTACCCCCGACACACACTTTTCAATACTGCTCAAACCCTTTATGAGGGGAGAAGTGCTTGGAATCTTTTAGAAAGACATTACTTGCATTGAGTCTAACCATTTTAAAGAACAGTGGTCTCTTAGACAATGCACAACAATGGTCAGCTTGTCTTCCTCCTGGTAACACACGGAAAAGAGCACAGTTGTCCAGCGATATCTCTACGACTATGGAGCAGCTACACGGATGTGGTGCAGTTTGTTCATCATTTTAATGTTTGAAATGGTGATATATGTAGTTTGCAGCTTCAGTCTACAGAAAAGTCTGTTTCTCAACATTCTATAAGGCATATATCTCATATATAAAGAGAAAGGTAGACTCCCCCGTACATACATTCTGTAAGGTGTATATCTCATATATAAAGAGAAAGGGAGACTTCCCCCGCACATGCATTCTGTAAGGCGTTTATCTAGTATATAAAGAGAAAGGGAGACTCCCTCTTATATGCATTCTGTAAGGCATATATCTAGTATATAAAGAGAAAGGTAGACTCCCCCGTACATACATTCTGTAAGGCATATATCTAGTATATAAAGAGAAAGGGAGACTCCCTCTTA